AGTGTTTGGTTGGACTGCAGTCTGGTTCCTGCTAGCACTAGTAACGGTCAACATGTTAGATCAGAGCCAAGAAAGAGCACGGACCTTGCCCTCTTGATGACTAACGTGCATTGTCCATTTAATTGTACTCTCTATGCAAGCAGACGCTACTTTCCGAAACACTGCTCCGGCCTTATGCCTTCACAAATTCATGGAATTCTATATCTAACTAAGTTGTGCAGAACACACTGGCTTAGCAGTCCTCATTTTTCCTTAAGGGACTCCTGTAGGTTGACATGTAAAACTGCACAGCTTGGCATTGATAACAATCGGCAAGTAGTTGCAGCAGTGTGCCGATTCTCGCAAAACTTGGCAGCGGTGGGATTCGAACCCACGCCTCCAGAGAGACTGGAGCCTAAATCCAGCGCCTTAGACCGCTCGGCCACGCTACCAGATGGGGGACTGCCTCTTTTTTTTCAGCGACGGAAGAAAACAAAAAGCACACCACATTGGAAAACAAGAGCATATTAACAAGTGGCGGCTTTACAAATACTGTGAAATAGAACCCTGCAGCCGGGGCGGGTATTTGGGAGCTTCTGATCCACGATGACGGCACCTACAGTTCTATGGTCACGGTCACCAGGAAAACCTCTCTTCTCCAAACCGGGCCACTGCGCAAGGTTTTGGGTTTTTTTTCTTCCGATTTTGTATTGCAGTCCCAGGGGCAGTTCTCTTTAAAGTACCTGTCTGAATTCCAGGGGCTCAGGAGATGGCTGCTTCTAGCATTAGGGCTTCCTGCCTTCTGAGCCGACAGTGGAATATGCAAAGGAACACACATCTTACCTTATGGCGTTACCAAGCTCTTGTAAACCACGCCGACCGGTAATTTGACAAGTCACATTGCCCCAGTTATGCTGTTCACACAAAGGTGGAACTGTAGTTGTGTAACAGGGCGTTTGGAGTGTTCCTTTATGCACAAAAGCTTGGCAGCGGTGGGATTCGAACCCACGCCCCCGAAGAGACTGGAGCCTTAATCCAGCGCCTTAGACCGCTCGGCCACGCTACCATCTACCTTTGACGCAAGCTTGCCCCTCTCCACACTGCTAGGAAGAAACAGGCATGGTTTCTTATTTCTAGACCTTTTATTTCGGGGGAAACTTTGTTGACTGTGTGTCAGAAGTGCGTGGGCTGTGTGTCAGCAGCGCATGGAAAAAGGGGCAGAGCATTTTCAGGGCAGTCAGAAGAACAGGATCAGGGACATTGTTTTGGTTGCTTTTAAGTTTGTTTTAATGACTTTTTTTTTTTTTTAAAGCGTTGGGGCGCAAGCCAACGCCCCCAGAGAAACCGGCCACTTAGTCCAGCACCTTAAGTGGATCTGCCTGAACTCACCTCTACAACCAAAAGCAATCAGCTTTCCTACCCATTCAGAGAAGAGATAGATATAAAGGATCCGGTACGGAGGTAGAGGATGGGGAACGGATGCAAAGGCAAATGTTACCAACTTGCATCTTTTTCCACATGAACAGCTCGAGATTTTGGAGGATCCACCAAGAGTCGATGCTCCAGTGGAGCGTATTTTGAAAAACTGAACTCCAAACTGCCACCAAACATCTTCTACCTGCCTCGGAAGCCGTAGCCGCCTTGCCTCTCGTTTTCAACCGCTGGCAGAGGTCACAAGCCTGCTCCGACTTCTCCAACAGTGTGGCACGCTGCGCAGCGCAGCAATTTTATTCTACATGCTATACAAGCCAACAAGAGTCGATGAAACATCTAAATCACGCACTCAATCAGCAAGAGGATGAAACGCAGCACACGACGAGGATGGGATTCGAACCCACGCGTGCAGAGCACAATGGATTAGCAGTCCATCGCCTTAACCACTCGGCCACCTCGTCTCTGGTCGGGCTGGGATATCGGTCTCAAACGCAGCGGACCAGCCACCATTCGGCCGCAAGACCATTTGACGGAAAGCCTCCTTTATTTGCTCTAGATACCGGATCGAAAACCCAGATTCTAGGTCGTATTTCCAGCCTGGCAAAAAAAAACCTCTAGCGGAAAATGCTTTCGATCCATCGACCTCTGGGTTATGGGCCCAGCATGCTTCCTTTGTGCCACTATGCTGCCCGCACGCCACGCACCAAGGTATTCGTGCTGTGTGTGGCACTTAGTAGGGGGGCGATAGCTCTTCCAGCACGGTTTATGCCTTGCCAGCCTTCGGAAAAGCGCCCAGTGCACATCGCCTACCACACCGCTTGCGATGGAGAGGACTGCCGCCTCGCCTGAATACGGCGCCTTACCTTCTGTCCTAAGGAGATAAAATAAGATGCCTCATTTGTAGAGGCAATCCTTGGTGGTTAACACATTTGCAGCAGGAGAAATCAATTGGCCCACCACCATTTGGCCGCAAAACCGTTTGCCTCAAAACCCTTATTTGCTCTTGACAATGGATTTAAACTCAGATCCTGGGTTCTTCCCCTGCCCGGCAAAAATCTTTAGCAGAGAATGGTTTCGATCCATCGACCTCTGGGTTATGGGCCCAGCACGCTTCCGCTGCGCCACTCTG